CTGAAACAGACTGTTTGTGTTGTTTTGAGTTGCTATCTTTCTGTTTTTATCCCTTTTTATTTGCTGATGGCAGTCGCATCCAGCCCACCTCTATCCTGAGGGGCAGTAGAGGGAGAGGAGGCCCTCTGAGGCCCTTTGGCCAGACAGTCCTGTCAGGGTCTTGTCCTAACTCACCACGGCTGGACAGGTGCATGCTGTTGCCAGAGCCCCGCCTCCCCTCACCTGGTTTCCTCTCTGTTACACTGAGTGTGCTGCTACTGAGTGCACAGATACTACCTATATCAGCCATATCCCAGTATGATCTTTATGATGTGTTGCTCACAAGTGATGTGATATTTTTATAAATCGTCTGCACATAAAGTATTTGAAGTATTTTGGGGATCTGTAGAAATACTCAGACGCACTCGGTGAATCTTCCTTTGCTTCTCCTGCAGCTTCATTGATGATTCTGATCAGTTTCTCTCCTATCTTGACCTTTGACCTTTACCATTGACCCCAGTTTGTTGCTTCTGTGACTGAGTGTTGGGTCTCACTTGAATGAGAGATTAATCTCTTTGTCATTATATGTATGTATAACTAATTTTCGCACCTCCATGTGTGTTCATGTCCTGCAGAGCACACCCTTATGGCAGCCCGACTTCCCCGGCGGGGACTCCCTCATCAGGTCGCAGGGGCAGGCAGCTCCCTCAGCTCCCCGCTAAAAGCAGCAGCATAGAGCAAGGTGTGTTGTGTGTGGAGAAAAATTCATAAGAAAGAACACGTATCGCAACAGTTTGATAACTGTAATCATTCACATCAAAAGTGAATGATTACAGCTATTAAACTGTTGTCAAAGTGAATAACTAAAAGGATTTTTAAATGCATCAGGTTTGTCCTGTAACTGGACCCGTGACATCAGAAAAACAGCCCTGCGCCGTCACCTCAGTGTGTATTATAGTGGCGTTTGTCAGATGTCGGCTTCACACCCTGAAATTTAGGAAAACACGCCCCTTCACAACAGTAACCCAGGTTACCGACAAATGAAAAGTGCATGAAGGCCAAAGCACACCTTATATTGTTCTTTGACTGACAGCAGTTTTGATGAATAGCACTTATCGACACCCTATGATTAGAACGGGCTAAAATTAGAGAGCCTTATAATAACGAGTAACCGTAGTGACTGAACCTGGTTTAAAATTCTGGATTGCAGCTCTACCAGCTGCAGTGCTGCACCCTTAAAAGTTAAACCCTCTAATTATGGTCACATATTGTGTTTTATAGCCAGGTGCTGGGACCTCCAGGTTGAAAAGGGTTAACAGCCTTTAAATTGTCAGTGCAGAGGAGTGCTGAGTAGAT